TTTTATAGTTACCACTGCATCATGACTATTCATAAAGTCCTTTAGCATTTGTTTGTGACCACTGTATCATGAATATTCATGTCATTACCTTTACCGTCGTTGAGTTGACTCCAAGTGGCTTTAAGTGTAGACAGTTTCCTCGTCTTACAGGTGCTGGAGGTGGTATAGCCATCGTTCATAAAACTACCGCAAAAGTAAATACATCGTGCTCGCAAACATTTTCATCGTTTGAGTGGTTAGAGATCACTGTTGATTCAAAACATGGACGTATTAGGTACATTCTCATGTACCGCCCGCCTCCCAGTTTTTCTAATAAACTGACATCTAATGGATTTTTATCGGATTTCTCGGATCTTCTAGACATTTACGTTTTGGATACTACACCAATCGTCTACCTTGGAGATTTTAACATTCATTTTAATAAGCCAGACAATCGTGACACCTGCAGATTTCTGGAACTTTTAAAAATGCATGATTTAGTGCAGCTAGTAGACAAACCTACCCATCGTTCTGGTAACATTTTGGATTTAATTATTACCCGTGAGAATATTGTGTTATCATTGGAAGTGAACCAGGCCGCAGCAATCTCTGATCACTATCCCATTTTCTTTAGTTTGTCAAATCATCATGATAATACATCAAATCGTACCAAAATTACTTATCGCAGCTTCAAGAACTTTGATAGGGATAATTTCGCATCTGATCTACTCGAATCTGGGTGTACTAGAACAGTTGACCAGGTAGATTCTACAGCTAAGTTACGTATTTTCAACACTGCTGTATCGGAAACGCTTGACAAACATGCCCCCATGACTGAGAAGACTGTTCACGTTCGTGTGGCCGAGCCGTGGATAAATGTTGATATTTACCACGCCCGCACTGAACGCCGTAAAGCTGAACGGACGTGGCGGCGAACTGGTTTAACTGTCCATCGCCAAATCTACAAATCTAAACGAAATAAAGTTAATGATCTTATTGATGTATCACGTAGGAGTTATTTCGCTGATAAGATCGCGGATTGTAATGGTGACCAAAGAAAACTGTTTTCCATCGTAAATGGTCTTCTAGGCTCGACAAATAATTTGAATGCGTTGCCGATTCACGATAACAAAATAAATTTAGCGAATCGTTTTAGCATGTTTTTCGTGGATAAGATTAAGAAAATCAACCAAGGACTAAATCTAAATTTATTGAATGGAAACCGTTTTAACGAACTGCACAAGTTCTCTGGTGATGAATTGAAATGTTTTGAACCAGCCACGGAGGATGAAATAATTAAAATTATAAAAAAAATCGTCGTCGGTTTCGTGCGATTTGGACTGTTTACCCACTAATATATTAAAAGATGAAAAGATCCTTTCTATCCTGCTTTCACCTATAACAGATATCATAAATGAATCACTTCGCACTGGAAGTGTTCCTGAGAAAATGAAATGTGCGCTGATTAAACCTCTGCTCAAGAAAGCATCGTTGGATTCAAACATGCTGAAAAATTATCGACCGATTTCTAATTTGTCTTTTATATCTAAAGTCCTTGAACGTGTCGTTGCATCCAGAGTGAAACAACATTTAGAGAATTATTCGTTGTATGAAGAGTTTCAATCAGCGTATCGGACCGCACATAGCACTGAAACGGCTCTTTTGCGGGTCGCTAACGATGTACTATGCAGTATTGATAATTCTAAGAATTCAGTTGCTCTCGTACTTTTGGATCTTTCAGCCGCTTTTGATACTGTGAATCACAGGATTCTCATCGATAGGTTGAGATCAAATTTTGGTTTAAATGGTCTCATCATCAAATGGTTTGAGTCGTATTTGAGTAACCGCATTCAAAAAGTGAAAATTGGAAATGTATTTTCTGATATGACGTCTATATTAGTAACCGGTGTTCCACAGGGCTCCGTCTTAGGGCCATTATTGTTCTCAATGTACATGCGTCCATTGGGCGAGTTATTGCGACGTCACGGCGTAAATATCATTTTTACGCCGATGACACACAGATTTATTTATCGG